GCGCAAAACATAGTCAGTACCATGACAGTTGCTATGCAAATAGAGTAGCTGACTTAAATTCCAGGTTTCGGGTGCGCCGACCGGACTGCATCATACAGTCACAGATACCACAGATGGCTCTTGTGCACGAGCGTGTTTCTGGATGCCAGGCATGGTTGTCCATCCAGTAAACTTCCGAATGCGCAACCCCAAGGCTTCAGCCAATAGGGTGCTTGCTGTACTTAACGTTTCGTTGGTCACTAGGTCAGGCTTGTTGGAGCCGACAAGAACTGGGGCCTGACAAAGCGGGCTACTGTTTTACTAGAGATGGGGGTCAGCTAAAGCTCAAACAAATCCCTGAAAGCCCCGAGCCCAAACACCCCCAACATCGGCTCAAAGGGCAGAACCTAAACTAACCCTGCAGGTCCCTCCGCTGGGCCCTGGCGATCGCATTGGCTGCGGGCCTCTATCGGTGATACATGTTGAGGAGATTGTATGCGAGAATGTAGAATCAATGTAGACTGCATTTTCGTAAGCACACATGCTGTGGACATGCGCGCACAAGGAGAGGCACCCAAAAATAGACTAAAGTTACGCTGAACTCAAGATACAGAATTTGTCAAATGGTTTGTTTAATTTGATGTGTGCTTGTAAATACAGCTTCAACCAGCCAGTTGTTTGCTTGGCTATCGCTATTTCAGTTTGCCCGTGTTGCCAACTATGTTATGCCATGTCCATGTGTCATGTTTTGCTTAACAACCAGAGCAGGTTTACCCTTGTGAAGCGGTTAATGGGTTTCAGAACGTAGTTATGTACATGTTCATGTCAAGTTATGCAACTCAAAACACAGCATACACGAAATTCATAACGCTGTTAGAGAACGTAGAACATGGTGAGTATTATCAGTATACATTGATAACTGGAGGGCCTCTCCTTGTATCTGTATACATCAAGATGAACACATACATGTGAGAAAAACGCACCAACACAATACAACCATTGGAGGCAATCACCGATCCATGCAGCCAAGCTGCGTCGCCAACTTTTGTCCCAGGCTCACAGGAAAAACCGCTTGTGGGGCTCTGGGTGATGGCGTGTGGACGCCACAAAACGAGGGTATGCCCCGAACAAACCCGTCGCTCAGTCATGGCGCATGCATGCACATGTGGCACATGTTCTTTTATGTTTCCACGCGGGTGAATGAACTGCTCGGGCGACCTTCGATGGTTGCAAATGCCAAGCATTCCATTTTAATGTCCTCGGTTCCAAGCGCCCGTGGGGGCAAAAGGGCCTGTTGTGTTTTCTGACTAAGCTGCGGAAACGGCCTTGTAAGTAGTTGGTCTACCACGACAAGAGGACCTCAGATCCAGCACAGTGGGAAGGAAGCATTTAGCGCTTTGTGAACTGAAGGTCACATGCAAGAGGTGTGGGAAGTCACATTGCTCAGAGTAGCAAGGTGCGGCTACTACCCTAGAAGCCCGGGACAAAGTTCTGTGGCTGGCTTTTTTTGGTAAACAGCCACAAGCGACTGAAAACTGACCGTGGAACATCTACATAATCGATGCCGAGATTAGGACACCTCAAGCGTCAGCGAACTTTGTCCAGGGTACATGACCTGCTGCATTCTTGAGCTCCTCAATGGGAGCTTGATCGGCTTTCTGCTGCGCAATCTATGGCCTATGGCTTGCTGGGCGGAGCACGGCCAACATTTTTTGAATTGGGCGTCTCAGGACATGTACGGTCTCAAACCTCATACTAGTAGGAGATGTGGCGTCACAACCTTGTGGCACTATATGTGCCTGTGTTCGCTAAAAGACGATCCGCCCAGCACAGGGAATGATCGCGCATCGACGGCATCAAAGCAGCACCAACTCTTTATGCCAAGGGCTGCACAATTGTGAAGAGGATCTCGTGATTGAGGAAATTCCAAAACTTGCAGGATACAAGCACTTCCAGTTTTTGGTTGCTCGCTTCGCCTTCCAGATGTGAGTCTTAGTAGTCGATTTAGTAGCCTGTAACCTTTTGGGGTAGTCTTCTATATTTCCTTCAGGGCACTGCCCCGAGCTATGTCAGCTATGTAGTCGTTCTGTTTATTGCATGAGTATGAAAAGTTCCGGTCCCCTTACGATCTCCGGAAGGGTCCCCATGTAGGCTTGCAGTTCGAGGATTGTGGTGGCACAGTAGGCATCAGTAGGCCAATAGGCTGTCGAAACATCCTGCAATCACAGGGTCCAGTCTCCGCAGTCCTTGTATGTCTTCCATGACCGTTGGCTGCACAAGACGGCAATATAGTTGCGTGCAGAAGAAATTTTGAACACAGGCGAGTGCTCGCCCTCCGACGGCTCAGCGCGCTCAGATGCAGGCTGCTTGCGTAATCCAACTCTGCCTGCTCCCGACATGATCCCCACAGTCACACGGACGTTGTTCGAAACTGGGGCTGCCACATATTCGTACATATAAAGACATATATGTAAATATATGTATATATATATGTATATGTATATAGTTGTATATAAATACACAGGTGCAGATGTCTTCTCCTCCCAAAGATCGACCGCAGTTTTAGCGTTATACATCAAGGTGCTTGTCAGAGCCACCAAATGCGGTGAGGTCCCGATGTTTCCAGGCTTCCACAAACCGTATGTGCGCACATGGTACTGTATCATGGCCAGAAATGGGTCCTTGGAACGTGATACAAAGCATAACCGCACCGATGTTCCTTCAGACCTTGGATCTACCACCCCGGATACGTTTAATTTTGTTGGGCTCATCTGCCTTGGCACTGCTGCGAACTCCCTAACGAACTACAGAAATTCATGTCTTGAAGCAACCGTTCAAGTGTAAGTAATGACAACCCAAAACCATTTATAGAATGGCGTTTTCCCAACATTCTTGGACCTATTTCTGAAGTGTGCGTTTTGCTTGCAGAGTGGTTTAGCAACTTTAGCGAACACATTAGAGTCATTCGAGGCGAGTTATAATGCTGAAACGAGAAATGTGTAGATGCTTTATAGTATTGAATTGGCTGAAGGAGGAAGCTACAATAATCATAGTCGGGCGCCGATCGCCACTTATTGCTTATACAGTGATTTAATCCAAGCCTGAATATCCCATCTCCCCTTCAAGGTTCACAAAAAAACTGGCTCAAGGATGGATCACAAAAGCAACCTTTTTCCTATCTTCGTTAGCTGAGTTCGAAGGTCGTTTAATGAAGAAATGCATCTCACATATTCCAATCAGCATAAGTAAGAAAACTGGAGGTGCTGCATGTGACTGAAACTAGCTAAGCTTTTTCATGGGTTGAATTTGTTAAGTCGGTGGGTTTTTACTTTCTAAGTATCAGAAATAGCTTCTGCAGTTTATCACATGTCCGAAACTGAAGCCCTTGAAGGCATGGAACTCGCATGTCACACTATTAAATACACTGAATCGACTTCTGATCAGACAGCGTTTTGTTGCACTGTACCCTGCTTCGGGAAACGGCTCAATGACCATAGTAATGGTTGAAGAACGTAAACATATTTTTTGGCTAGGACATGACCATATAAATAAAAGTGGACCCCTAGCCGGTTGCACATCTGCTCGTATCTGAAATACTGTATTTCTACGCACGCTCAATTACACTTCACTGTGATTGAAAAAACTGATTTTATTCGAGCCGGCTCAAAAAGGGTCCAACACTTTCAGCTGGAAGGTCCCGAAATCTACAGCCCTTGTCAGGCCAGGCCAAAGAAATTCCTGGAATCTATGGCCCATGGTCGGTCAGAAATTTCAGATATCTTCGAGCCGGCTCGAAAAATGTTTACGCATACAGAGCTGGAGGGCCATAGTTCCAGAATGTGTTTTATGTTTGTTTGGCGAGCCGCACGAGTTTGACCACCCTGGTGAGTCAAGAATTCTTTCGTTGTCGAGCTGATACAGGCTTTTTTTGCTCAGTTGCGCCGGCTCGAGTTTGGGAGCCATGTTGGGTTCCAAGTATGTTTTTTCGAGTCGGCTAGAAAAACTAGCAGCAACTAGCAGCCATGCTACACCTCCCCTTCCCAAGTTCCACTTGTACTGCCAACAGACACAAGTGGGGGAGTTGCAAACGAAGCCCACGGCTTTCTTACCAGAAACTTTTTAGTTCCTGATCAAATCAAATTACGAACGAGATCGAACGAGGCTCACAAGATATTCTGTCTTCTAACATTCCGAATGAAGCTAGCGATGCTCATTACGAACAATTCGCTGGTCTCGAACATTTTTGATTCGGCTACAAGTCGGTTTGATGTTGGCTTGGATACAAGAAAGACCCAAGATACCACCGAATTTTGATTCGGGCTTGGACCTTTTTCATTCAGAACGGTCCCGATGTGACAGCCGAAAACAAGTACTAACTGAATATACCTGAATGTAATGCATACCATTAACAAGATGTACAGGCGCTTACGGATCTGCTGAGCTGAGCGGATGGAATCCTTGAATGGCTTATAGGGCACTGTAACTCTGCAGATCTTTTGGAGGAGTATTTACATACGCATTCCCCCAGTTTAGCCATTTCCAATGCTTGCAAGACACGCCTTGCAAGAACGGCCCCAAACAAGGACCTTGAACTCAAGATTCCTCCTCAAAGCTGAAAGCCACCCGCGAACTTCGACGACCTCATTGGCCGTCCTATATAAACCTGCATCTTTCTGTCGCGACCCCCAAAAACCCTGAACCAAAGTCTTTAAGCAGTCATGAACATATTAAAGCCTACAACCGTAGCCAGGCCCTCAAAATTCCCTTGCAGGGATTACGCAAGCCAGCCCGAAGACGCGGTGGCCCTCCGAGACGGAGAGGGGAAAAAAACGGCGCTTGGATCTAGCGAGCTGTCAGCCCCGGTTGCTTCAGAACCAGGGTTTCAAAGTAGGTTGAGACATTTTGTTCGACTGTATGATTATCTCTATGGCTCAAGTTCCTTTTTCTGTGAGCGGGGCTGGGGGCCTCCTGTAATATATTGGTAGGCTGCTCTGCATATCCAACACCCGGTGCTGTGTCCGATGACCGACTCTGTCGAGGACATGGAGGTGACGGAGCATTGCGACGTGGAAGAAGACCAGGAAGCGACAGAGGAAGACTCCGAGTTCACCGAAGACGTCCAGAATCTCGCCGACGCCGAGATCAACGATGCAACCATCCGGAAGTACCAGCAAGTTCATGAGGATGAGTTCGAGGAGCTGCGCTTGCCTGCTGCCGTGGCAGCAGAGATACGCCAGTGTTGGCAGGACTTCCTTGCCAAGTTCACCTCTGCCGAACTTGCGGGCCTGGCCATCTACGATGCCATCTTCGAAGATGCGCCGGGCATGCGTGTGCTGTTCACATCCCCAAGAACAATCTTTGCTCTGACATTCACCAACTTTCTGAGCAACATCTTCGCCATGTGTAACAATCCATTTGCTTTGAAGTCTTCGGTGGAAACTCTCGGATTTCAGCACCTGGATCGCGAAGTGACTCCGGCACGGCTGGCAATCTTCGCAGGGGCCATCCTGAACAGCATGGATGCTGAGCTGGGCCGGGAATTCGCCCCAGAGGCTCGTGCAGGGATCGTTGCGATGCTGAACTACATCGGCGGTGCCATCGTGTACTGCCGACAAGAGTTGGGCGCGCGCATCAAGACCATCCAGCGCAGCTGGAAGATTGCCAACCACAGCCATGCCGACACGCCCTCGGAACCTCCAGACGAGGCAGAGCAAGATGAGGCAATCGCAGTGCCGTCAGGTGACAAGGACAGGCAAATCACGGAGGACACGGTTGCCTCCTCTGGCGAGAGGCCGGACCCGACGGCCAAGGGCAAGTCGGATGAGGACGACACCCGAAACACGGCAGACATCGTTGTCCTCAGCGAGGTAAAGGATGTAAAGGTGCCCACCACATTCAACGAGATGTTTCTCTTCAACGCGGCTGTGATGGGCTTCGCGGACAGCAAGTGGATGCACGTCGTCCTTGAGCGCTTCGATGCTATGGCGACGAATGTGGCCAACACCACTCGGCTCCAGGAGGAGTGTGATGTGCTGTCTCTTCTCATCTCCAGATACAACAGGGGTCAGGTTGTCCTTCCGCAGTTCAAGGCAGTGATGTTGGCTTCATTGAGGTCAATGGTTCCCAAAGATTGGGACATGGACCACGAGGTCGCGTGGAACTGGTTTTGGGAAAACATGGAGAAGATGCTCAAGAAGATGATGGGTGTGCCTCAGAGCTACACCAAAGTGCTCAATAAGTTGCTGAGCAGCCTGGACGAGGCCAGTATCAGTCGGACCCGACAAGTGGTCTTTCAACGTTTCTTCGAGCTTGCCCCGAGTGCCGAGAGCTTCATGAAGCAATCCTCCACCAGAATGTACTACATTGCGGACAAGATCATGGAGATGACAATTGACATCTGCGAGAACACGCGGCACGTAGTAGACGACATCTCAGGTCTTGGCTTGCGCCATGTGGGATACGGTGTGCCGACAGAGTACTTCCCACCCATGGTCCAAGCTTACTGCGAAGCGATCGACAACCTCTGTCATGACAGGATGGGGCCTGAAGCTTTCCGGTGGTCGCTGACGCTGATCACCAAGATCCTGACCCGCGTCATCCTCGAAGGGTCGACAGTCGTGATGAAGGCGATCAACACCAATCAGGAGTCCGCTGTTCGGCAAGCCGTGGCAGTGGCCCCGCGTGGGAAACGGGCCATGGAGGTGCTGAGCGTCTCTGTGGGTACCCAGACGATCTCGCCTTTGTACTGGGCCATCGACAGCGGGAGTCTAAACTGCGCAAGGGCCATCATCGAGGATTTGCTGACCATCCGGGCCGACCGTGACGTGTACTATTACGGTTGCGAGGCCTTGTTCACTCGCCATCCTGAGATTGTGCAGAAGATGTGCACGAGCGCCCCCAGTCTGCTGATCCCTCTCTTCGACGGTCTGGTTTGGCGCTCGCGGCTCACCAAAGATGGCAGCCGCCGCGTGAACCTCTACATCCAACACTTGGTGCAGGACAGCAAGGGCGCATTCAGCCCTACACTCCAATGGCTTGTGCAGTATAACAACCCCAAGATCATGAGCCATCTTGTTGTGGCCCTGACAACGGACCTAATTTGGAGTCGCTTCGCAGCTTTGCACTTCCTTTGGCGAAGATGCTACTTCCTTCTCACACTCTGCCTCTTCTTTGTGAGCCAGTCCGTCCTGAAAGAGCACACGGCCGCCGAAGAAGTGTTCGAGGCAAACGTGGCTCGTTGTGTGCTGCGGCTTTGGCTGTACATTGCAAGCTTGTGTGGCCTGTACGGCTTCGTGAAGGATGTTGCCATCGAATGCCGTCGCGGTCAGGTGATCAGGACTTCCATTCTGCCCATCCCCATTCCGAAGTCATTCGCCTCTGCCAAAAAGCTCGGTCAGGCCGCCCTGGTCTGGGTGTTGATGTTCATGCTTGTCTTCGAGCCAATCCTTCGGTGCGCTTCCACGTGGATGGACAAAAACAGCCAGTACTTGCTCTTCACTACGCATTGCGGAGTGGAAGAGGAGATCCGGATCTACTCCGTCTTCTCTGCCGTTGGCATGGCACTGTTCTGGCTGCTCTTGACCGATTGCACCGTCTTCTCCATGCGGCTGTCAGCATTCTTGTTGGTTTGCGGCTGGGTCGCCATGGAGGTCTGCCTCTTTCTGCTGGCGCTGATGTTTCTTATTGTGGTCTTCTCCACGGCATTGAGTTCCTTCCAGCACGACTTGGTGGAGTTTGATGGTGCCACGACGTGGATCGCTGCGCTGGTGCAAATGGCATTCGGGATGTTCCCAGCCTCGGGGTTCGCCGCGACCGAGGAAGACTTTCCCATCTTCTTGTGCCTGACCCTTTTCATGGCACTAGCCACCATCTTCCTCATGAACCTCCTGATCGCCCAGCTGGTGGAGTCCTACCGCACCATGTTCGCCGACATGACCGGCTTTGCTCGACTCAATCGGGCTGGCGTGGTGGTGTCCGTGCTGGCAGAGGCTCGCACAGCTCAATTTGCGAAGTTCCTCCGTGCGCTGAGCTTCGAAGAGCGCCTGGAATTCAACGAAGGCGACTCAGGCCCGGCTGGGGGCATTCAGATTCATGAGCCGGCGAATGAGTTCACGGTGACAGAGGACTCCATTCTCCGATATGGCGGCCCGACAGCACCGTCAGTTCCGTGGCCAGAGGACGACCGGAAGGTGGAAGAGAGCACGGAAGAGAAGCTGCAGCATGTCGAGAACAGGCTGGCTAGCATGGAGAAGCTGCTGACCAAGATGGCAAAGACCAAGGGCATCAATGTCAAGAACGGGTCGCGCATGCCAAGCGTTGCAAGCTCAAGATGCTCGGACCACAGCCAGTGAATCCAGTGAGCAGCCCTGCCACAGGCAGCAAGATTCATGTGCATTATTGTGTATTCCTGTGATCCTCGTGATCCTCGTGATCCTTTAGCCCGAATCCAATGAGCTCTGACTGAAGCTTTGGGGTATCGACATCCCTACCATGCACCTCAAGATACCACAAGCCACCCCGAAGGGAAAGGTTCGTCCCATATATTGCCGTATGAACATTCAACAAGACAGATTCATGTCAGGATGTGTTTTCAGAATTGGATTCGGCGCATCCTTTTGGAGGGGCATCGTGCTCAAGCAAGTGCAGTTCCAGTACCTAATGTGCGTGCAGCATGTACAGGTCTTCCCCTGGCTGATCTGAAGAGCTGAGCGGTCAACCTTAGTTAGACTGAACAGCGTTCCAAGTAAGCTTCAACCAAAATCATCCGGCAAGACAGACAGAACACAACAACGGGGAGAGCGAGAGCGAGAAGGAAGGCAGCAAGAAAATGAATACATACTACCATATACTACTTTCACAGTAGAAGTCTGTATTGAAAATGAAGCATCCCCGACGCCAAATTTCCATTGGCAGTCGCAATAGTAATGATAGGTGAAATGGATGTGGCTACAATTGACTAAATCTGGCCGCTGAAGCGCAGAAACGTGAAAGAACCGTGGGGGGGGGGGGGGGGGGGCGGCTCCGCTCCACCCCAACAACCCCCCCCCCCCCCTTCCAAAAACGAAGGCAAGCTCTATCCTTTTGTTTCTCATATTTATGTATTTGTTTGGGCCCAAGAGTTGGCCTCAGCCTGGTCAAACCAAAGCCTGCTTTCCAGCAACGCCCTAGCTTGACATACAAGACTTTGGGGGGGGAAGGGGGGGGGGGGGGGGGATGCACAGGGTGAAGGGTCCCTTTCGCCTCGCCTCGCAAGTAAAAGTTTCGTGCTGAAGTTCCCAGATTTTAGAGTTAGTCAGGAATGCTTCAATTTGTAGTCTTTGGATGATCAGAAGAGCTGTGCTTTGTACCATTCGGAGGGTGTGAACTGCGACATGGTCTAAATGAGAATCAACAAATCATCCGGCACAATAACAATGCCAAGTCATATCCTTTTTAACAGGCTAAAGCACGTTGACCTCACCCTGGCAAAGCCGGGCCAGCTTAGTACCTTCTTCATGTTGCACCCACCCTTCAAGTTTGGGGGTTCAGTGTCGGAGCTGCTGTGTTTCCGAGTTGATCAGCCTAGCTCAACAGCAAGAGAAGGCTGTGGGGGAGGGCGCTTCACGGCTCCATGCTAGACAGGCTCTTACTGTTGTAGCGCATGGCCGCCTTGCGGAGCTCTTGGCAGCCGTTCGCTAGGGTCCTTTCCAGGCGCACCTCATGATGTATCGGTAGATTCTGGCCTTATGTTGCCACTGCCTGATGGAGAAGGAACGGCGGCCAAGGAACCCTGTCTGCTTGTCAGGCAGGTCGCGACACTGCCGCCCTTTGCAGTGGGCGATGTGGGGGCTTGAAGGTGAGAGTCGGAAACCCTAAGTTGTTCAAGTCACTAGACATCACTAGACTATATAGACTGCATTAGGATGGAGCTCAGAAAAAGCAGGCTGCCAACGTCACTTTGCGCCCCCTCTGCGGGAATTCGGCCCGTCTAGCACCGCCTTTCGTAGAGTGCGGTTTTGGGGAAGTCTCTGGAAGCCTAAACTGGACTTTTCAGCCCTCGTGGAGGCTTCGGCTGGCTATAGTACCGAGGCGAGAAACCGGATAAGCTGACGCAGCTTCAGGAGGGTTGGGGGAGCACTGGAACTTATTGGCCGCACGAGGAGTGGAGAAGCCTGCAACCCTGATGCGGTTTAGGGTCCAGGAGTCCCTATGTATGCCTTTGGAGGCATGCCCCGCGTGGTTAAACCACGCCGGCGGTCGTGACGATCTGCATAGCTCTGAGGCACCCCAAACTTTGCCCTAACATGTCCTAACATGCCCCAATACACGTTCGAAGCACTTGAGCCTCGGAGCGTGCCTCTAACAAGATTTCACAAGCCCACGTCACCATAAACGGTGTTTGGTGGCCACTCCCTTTTTTTTTGCTTCGCTGGGATCCAGCATGTCGCACCTAAACAAGATGTAGGAGTCGAGTATGGTCTAGTGTTTATACTTGAAGCCTGTCAGAAGAATTCCATTGCAGTTATTGGTAAGAGCTCATTTAAAGCAACAAGCCTATTGGTGATTGTATACTTATATGTGTACACATATATATATATACATATATGTATATGTATATATATATATATATATGGTCACACCCCCCCCCCCCCGCATGATCCATATGTGTCCTTTTCTTGCTTGCCCTTCTGCACCTGTGCTTACACATAATCATATGGTTGAAGTGAAAAACACCGGTAGTTACGATACTTTCATGTCTTGCCATGTCTGAAGCTACAACTTGCTATTCCTTCTTTATACTTTTAACAACAGAAATCTACAAACATAATCCGTTTGTGGATTTGGTTGTGTGCTCTTTGCACATGTCTGTCATTCACTCTATAATAACTATCAACATACACCTTCTTGAACTTCAACATGATTCATTAATTACACAAAATAATTTATAAATCATTTTTGTATAATGCACAAACATAAAAGAAGAAGTGAAGGGGTTTTATATAAAGCGCCTAACACAAGAAGCAGACTACATATTGAAGTTAGAGACAAATTAGCGGGGACAGAGATTCATCAAATGGTTCTATTTTACATATTGCTGGGACTAAAGGCGGTAGAGATGTTTATGGTGACTCAAAACTACCTTTATATAAGACGCAACAGACTCAGCGTTATAAAGATGTAGATAAGTTCATTCAAGACGGTTTTATTGAAATAGATGGTTACAAAGTACTGGAATTACTGATGTTATGAGTCATTGTTTAGGTTCAGCATCGGGACAACAATCAAACAATGATTATGGTAATGTATTCAGAAGTCGTAGTTCTGGTTGTCCTTTGTATCAGGACAATGACCAGAAAGACCGTGGGACAAATTTAAGAATACGAAAAGCAGGAGACCCCGTTAGTATGTTTGATAAAGGACGTAAAACATCAAATGAACCAACATTAGACCATCTGCAAAATCATTCTTATGAAGATGTAAGCAACGCTAAAAACAAAGCAGGAAATCTACCTGTAACCGAAGAAGAGATTTTACAACAGTTTGATTCAATGATCTAAATTATATTTAATAATGCGTCATACGAAAGCAACAACATACGAACAAATAGAGAAACCGAAGAAAGAGAAGAACATCAAACAAAATGCTTACGAAGAGATAAGAAAGTTAGTTGAGAATAATGACGTAGAAGCAGTTAAGGAGGTGAAAGGTAAGAAGAACAACAAGTCTATGTAATCTGAAATTCTTTCATTAAACATTTCCTCAATGATAATTTATGTTTTGAATTACACAAAGGTAGTTCTCATATTAAATGTCAAGGGTTTAAGAATAAAACGGCTGTTGGATTTAAGCCATTGCGCACAATTTCAGTATTTGTTGTGAAAATATATGGGAAACTTAACAATTGAATTAGAATTAGTAATTAATGCTACTGATTGTATCATCGCAGTCAGCATTTCAAGAGATTTAGGGAAAACTCGAGTCGGCTCGAATTTTCCAAAAAACGCAAATTCTGTCATCTATGAGGCCTTGGGGTCACACAGCCGTGGTTTCAGCATTTTTAGAAAATTCGAGCCGGCTCGAATTCTCCGAATATTCTTGAAGCACCAGGTCGCGAAAACTCGAGCAGGCTCGAATTTTCCAACAAACACCTAAATTATGTCATCTATGAGGCCTTGGGGTCACACAATCATGGTTTCAGCATTTGTTTTAGAAAATTCGAGCCGGCTCGAATTTTCCTAAAATGCTTGAAGCTCCAGGTCCAGGAAACTTAAGCAGGCTCGAATATTCCATACAAGAACCTAAGTTTCAGGATCTACATGGCTGCTGGAGCCATACATCCTGAAGTTTAGGTTTTTGTTGGAAAATTCGCGCCTGCTCGTGTTTCGGCCACCTACTGAGTCAGTTTTTTTTGGAAAATTCAAGCCGGCTCGAGCTTTCTAAGCAAAATTATGATTTCTTCGGGTATTTTTATACCTTGTTGATGTAAATGACCTTCCTGACTTGACATGATATAGGTCTTTATCGGCCCTGTCGGCGTTTTTATCGCTAGCTCATAGCCCTCTCCTCCCAAGATCCATCTGTTTCCAAGCAGAAACGTGGATCATGGGGGGGGGGGGTGAGCATGTATATATATATATATACATACGTGTGATCCCGGTTCGCGGTTACGCATCCCTTCAACCCACCCACTACCAGTCCCCCCTCTCTGTCCGTGGTTTGGTGTCGGGTTTAGGGTTTGGGTTTTCAGGTTTCAGGGGTTAGCGTGTGGGGTTTAGGGCTGAGGTAATTTTGGTTTAGGGTAGAAAGGGTGTTAAGGGTTCAGGGTTGAAGGTGCAGGGCACGGGAGGTGGGGTGGGGGGGAGGCGTGTGCGCGCTGATCATATATATATATATACATGTATAGAAATGTGGTCCCCCCCACGTGCCTGCCATTGTCTTTTTTTGTTCACTTTGGCGAGGTCACCCAACAGCACATGGAACAATTTCGGCAGTGCAAAGCCTTTCTTTGCAGGTTTCTGAAGCATGCCAGCCGCAATAGACCTGCATGTACATGAGAACGAAGAACAGCTACTGGGACACCCGCGCATAAACGATGAAGGACAGTTTCTGGGACGATCACAAGCTAAACAATAGAATAGTGAGGCCGAATTAGCAGAATTCACCCCCCCCTCCCCCTCTGTCGTGTGGCTGTGGGCCTAGCCTTTTAGGGCCTAGGGTTTTAGGGTGTTGGGGTTTAGGCTCTGCACTCCACCCCCCCCATGCGGCTGTGGGCGGTTTTGCGGGTTAGGGTGTATGGCGTTTTAGGGTTTCAGGGCTTGGGGTTTTGCGGCTTACAGAGCTTTTGCAAGTTTAGGGTTTCCAGGGTTTGGGC